GTTGTATCATCTGCAAACTTAATGATCTTATTACTCAGATGAATAGAGGTGCAATCAGACATATAAATAGTAAATAAAAGTGGACTCAATACACAGCCCTGAGGAGTGCCAGTATTGAGAATCTTCACGAAGAGATATGTTCATTCATCCTAACCCTTTGTGAAAGATGTGATAAAAAATTCAGAATCCACCAACATTTAGAGTCCGGTAGCTTCAGATCTTTAAGCTTAGACATCAATCTGTGGGGTAATATTGTGTTGAAAGCAGAACTAAAATCAACAAATAATATTCTGACATACGTTCCTTTTTTCTCCAAATGAGATAGGGCAGTATGAAGAACAGTATTGACAGCATCCTCAGTAGATCTGTTTGTTCTATAAGCAAACTGATAATTGTCAAAGGTAGCAGGAAGGCAAGAAATAATGTATTTCCGAACTAACTGCTCGAAGCACTTCATTATCACAGAAGTCAATGCCACCGGCCTATAGTCATTTAAAGCATTTGCAGGTGACTTCTTGGGTACTGGAACAATAATAGAAGCCTTCAGACAAGTTGGCACAATAGACTGTAGCAAAGAACGATTGAAAATCTCAGTCCACATCCCGGCTAACTGATCCGCACATTCTTTTACTACACAACCAGGAATGTTATCAGGTCCTGCAGCTTTTCTAGAGTTTACCGCTTTCATTATACACCTAACATCGTGCTCCTTCACAACAAGAGAAGCACAGTGCTTGGTCAACAATGGTAATGGTGATGGTAACTCCACTTCCAGTTGATTCATCTCAAACCGGGCATAAAAGGTGTTTAGTTCCTCTACCAACTCATGTTTTCCACCCATACTAGCCTTTTGTGCTTTAAAATTAGTTAACTGCTGAATCCCCTGCCAAGCTTGTCTCAGGTTATTATTAGATAACCAGTCTTCTATCTTTCCCTTGTATGCAGCCTTGGCTTCTTTAATACCATGCTTCAAATTTGCTCTAGCCACACTATACAGTGAGGCATCTCCAGACTTAAATGCCTTATTTCTCTTGTACAAAAGGGACCTAACAGTGCCAGTCATCCATGGTTTTTGGTTTGGGTAGGATCGAATACACTTGTTCGTCGTAACAGTATCAATGCAATGGGCCATATATCCCAAAACTGCAGCTGTATAATGCTCTAAATCTTGATGTTCAAAGATGTCCCAGTTGGTTCGTTCAAAACAATCTTGAAGCTGCGTAATCGCCCCCTGAGGCCAACATTTCACTGTCTTTACTACCGCCCCCGCCTTCTTCCTCTTAGAAATATACTCAGGAGCCAAAACCAAAGATAAATGGTCAGACATACCTAGATGTGGTAACTGCAAAATCCTATACCCCTGTGCAATATTTGTGTAAACTTTATCTAAAGTATTCAACCCCCTGGTCGCACATCTCACATGTTGATGAAATTTAGAAAGAACATAATTAAACATAAAATGGGATTAATGGAAAAAGAAGAATTAGCACAGAAAATCAGAGGTGCAAAACAGAACAATTTTGAAGATGCAAATAAACCAGGTAGATGGTTAGCATATAAACTGAGAAAGGAGAAAGAATCAAGGAAAATACTGCAATTAATAGATGATCAAGGCCAGGTTTGCTATGGAAGTAAAGAGAAGAAGGAAATTTTACGAGACTATTACGGGAAACTATACACACAAGAGAATATTGATGATGAAAGAGTTAAACAGTACTTACAGAATGCTAACCTACCCCAGATACCTAAAGAGATTGAAATAATGTTACAAAGCAATATAACGATGATGGAGTTAACTGAAGCACTTAACCAAAACAATGGAAACGCACCAGCCCAGATGGACTTCCTGTGGAATTTTACAAAACACTACCAGAATCGTTGAATCTTCCATTGCTAGAAGTTATGAATGAAGTTATGTTAAAGAAGAAGATACCTAAATCATGGTCAGAAGCCTTATTACACTTATTCCAAAAGAGGAGGCCGACCCATTACAAATCAAGAACTATGGACCTATTCCCCTACTAAATGCACATTATAAAATCTTTGCTTCAATATTGGCACAAAGACTTAAAAAATACCTAAATAATTTTATTCACCCTGATCAAAATGGATTTCTGCCAAAGAGACAAATTAAAGAGAATATGAGAGTAATCTTGGACACTTTGGAATACTACTAGACATACCCTGAAAAACAAATGGCTTTGATATTCTTAGATGCACAGAAGGCATTTGACAATGTGAATTGGCAATTTATGTTATTACAGCTGGAACAGATGGGTTTTGGTAAAAAAATTCATCCAAGCAATAGAAGCTACATATCATAAGCAAACGGCAAAAGTAATGATAGAGGGAGAACTGACAGACTCTATTGATATAAGAAAAGGAACAAGAAAAGGGTGCCCACTGGTACCTTTGTTTTTTGTGTTAACCTTGGAAGTGCTAAACAGAAATATTAGAGAAGAATGATGAAAATTAAAAAGGAAGAATTTAAATTGCAAGCATTTGCAGATGATCTGGTTTTCATTTTAGGTCACAAATAAGATCAAGTACTTGGGGATACATTTGACAGCAAGATGTAGTACACTAAAAGAGAATAACTATATTAAACTTAAGCAGCAGATAGCGCTAGATTTGGCAAAATGGGAAAATTTACAACTGTCATTAATAGGGAGAATATCAACAATCAAGATGAATATATTACCCAGAATTTTATATTTGTTCCAAACAATTCCAATTAGACTTGGAAAATATTATTTTGAAGATTTAAATAAAATTGTGTTGAAATATATATGGCAAGGTAAGAAAGCGAGAATAAAATTAAAACTTTTGCAAGATGCTAGAATAAGAGGAGGATTTGGTTTGCCTAATTGGGAGTTGTACTACCAAGCTACAAATTTGATGTGGGTTAAGGAATGGATAACATTAAGAAATGCTAGATTGTTGACATTAGAAGGACATGATCTGTTGTTGGGGTGGCATGCTTTTTTATGGTATAAAGGAACTAAAACACAGGGGTATTTTAGAAGACATTATATACGGGAGTCTCTGTGGTTAAATTGGGAGAAGACTAAAAGACAATGTTATTTGAAAATTCCAGTCTGGCTATCGACTATTGAAGCATTTTCTTATCCTATAATATACAAAAAGGAACAAACAGATATAGTGAAATATTGAATGAAAAGGGTGAACTTTCTGGATTTTAAAGAAACAAATGTGGTTGATGAAGAAATACTCATTAAATTGACAAAGTGATATTACAATACAAAATCCTTTTTCCATTATTATTATTTGCTCACCCTGACTTTCAAACAGGAAATTTTTCAAATCATTCTAATGTCAGGTTTCCAAGTGATGAAATCCATATAAAAAGAAAACCAAAGTCCATCTTCCAAAGCAAATTATTTAGGAAAGCATCAAATTGGCAACGTGCAGGGTAATTTCAGATCTGACACAACCCATAATTACCCCACAATATTAAAAGTTAGGAACAATCCCCAAAAGTCACATTCTCCAATAGAAGTAATTCAATGTTGCTTGGTGTATAAATCTCTACCTCAAGGGGCCCCAGCACGGACAGCTTGTTTTCCATGAGAAGGATACTCACCTATCCAAAACAACTCTCTTTATCTCCACTCCTCACCCCTTAGGAATGTGGCAAGCCATAAACCCTTCCCCCAGGACTGCCACAGAGAAAGTAAGAAAAAGAATATATATTAAGCCTAACTAAAATGGCTACACATATGTCAATTTCAGGCTTGACATCTAATTTCTACTTTTTAAAAAATTCCTACATCTATCCTTTTATTTATCCTTTGGCAAACATATTATCATCCCCCTCCATAAAGGAATAAAATTACAAACTCTGTTAAATATCTCCAATTTCAAAACCTTCTGTGGTTATCCCCAGGTCCTTCTACTTTCTCGTTGCAATGACCCTTGTTTCCCTGGATCCCAGAAGAAAAGGATTGAGGGGGATCAATTCTGTTGCTATGACTGTGTTCCATGCCCAGAAGGGAAGATTTCAAATCAAAATGGTAGGGTAGGAATTCTACCATATTTCATTAGACTTGAGCAAACTTTAATAAACTACTGGGATGCCTAAACTTAATAAGGTGATCCTTGGTACTCTCTGAGATTGCTTGTTTTCTTGCAGATATTTCATTACCCTAAATAGGTAATATCATCAAGGCTAGTAAGAAGTGCTGTTTGCTGTTAGATGTATGGGTATCCAGTGAAAGGATTTTATTTAAATGAGCCCAAACACACTACAACAACCTAGAATAGCAGAAAAAATGGAGCATCTATACAACACATTCCAACAAAATGTATAGTCACATAACTATATAAAATGTCCCTGACCACTCAACCCTGTATAGCACAATCAACAGTAACCCTAAAAATAAATATGGGGCCATACATCAATAATATCTCAAAAGCCACCAACAGTCTATACAACTGAATGGAATCAGTGTAGTCCACTAGCTAACTAAACCCCTTCAAAACACTCTAAGCAAAACAAAGGACCCAGCAGCTCTAGAAGAAAAAGCAGGAGTCACCTACAACATGCAATGCAAGGATTCCAACAACCACTATGTGGGACAAAAAGACAGAAAACTGGTAGAATGTATCCCTCAACATTAAGAAGACATGAAGGACTCCAGAAGCTCTCCACCAGTAATCAGCACCCAGATTCACATAGATTAACTCCAAAGTTAATCAGACCAACTATCAAGTAAACAATATCCCAATCAAGAAACTGCCAAAGAGCCATCAATAAAGAGCCCAACCAAAGAATCTCTAAGACTGCCCCTACCCATACAGACAGGCAAGACATCAGAATATAAACTGACAGTAAACAGCAGTCCTGACTAGCACTGATGGTATTAGGTAGTTAGGGTAATAAAATGTCTGCAAGGAAACAAGCAAGTTGAGAGAGCACCAATCACCCCATATGGAATGCCCAGATGAAAAAAAAAATATCCTTCATTTTGTTTCCAGATATGGAAGATTGTTTTGAATGTTCAGAAGATCATTATCCAAATAAAGAAAAAAAAGGATGTATCCTGAAACTGCTGGTTTTTCTAACTTTTGAAGCAACCTTAGGAATTGGTTTAGCCTCAGCAGCACTTGGTTTCTTCTTCTTGACATCATGGGTACTTGGAACATTTATTAAGTACAGGAATACACCTATTGTCAAAGCCAACAACCGGTCCATAACCTACACCCTCCTTGTCTCTCTTTTGCTCTGTTTTCTCTCCTCTTTCTTTTTCATTGGCCAGCCTGGCAAAGTGACCTGCCTTCTCCAACAATCAATGTTTGGCATCACTTTCTCAGTGGCCATTTCTAGTGTCCTGGCCAAAACCATCATAGTGGTTGTTGCCTTTGTGGCCACTAAACCAGGATCTCAGATGAGGAAATGGGTGGGGAATAGATTGGCTTTTTGTACTGTTCTTTCCTGCTCCCTGTTCCAAGTATGTATATGTATTCTTTGGTTGTCAACATCTCCTCCATTCCCTGAATTGGACATGCACTCAGAGCTCCAAGAAATGATTTTACAGTGCAATGAGGGGTCAGCTTTCTTCTTCTACTGTGTCTTGGGCTACCTGGGTATCTTGACCATTGCAAGCTTTATTGTGGCTTTTCTTGCCCGTAAATTACCTGACAGTTTTAATGAAGCCAAGTTCATCACCTTCAGCATGTTGGCTTTTTGCAGTGTGTGGATCTCCTTCTTTCCAGCCTATCTGAGCACAAAAGGAAAAACCATGGTAGCTGTGGAGGTCTTCTCCATCTTGTCATCCAGTGCTGCTTTACTGGGGTGCATATTCTTGGCAAAATGCTACATCATTGTTTTTAGACCTGATCTCAACCACAGGGAGCAACTCACAAAGAGAAAGTAGTTCATCATGTGATATTACTGTGTCAGAGAAATTGCCTAAAAAAGAAATTGAAAGAAAAAAACAAGCCCCCAAAAAACAAGCCCCAAAACATTGGATTCCGAAGCCCTGGGACCCTAATCACGCCGGTGGAGCTCCTGCTAGCCGATCCAAACCCCTTCTCTCCTTCCCCAGAGAAGTGAAGCTCTTTCCATCAAGCCCTATTAACCACACCAGTGGAGCTCTTGAACTGGATCACTTGGAGCCAGTGGAGCGCAAACAACTCAACTTCATTTAAATTCCCCACACAGCTGATCAAAGTACCTTCCATGCCAGACAATGTGTCTTCATTAATATTCCCCACAAAGTTTCCCCAGACTCACATCAGACAGCTGGCAGGGAGAAACAAGGAGGGAGGAGAGAGAGACCAAGACTTTAAGGAGTTTTCCAGTCATTTTTTGGACAGAGTCAGCTGCGTGTTTTGCTCTTATTCAGCATGTTCCAAACCTACACTTTTTACAATGAGTGTCCCCAGCAGATCAGATAGCAGCAGCAATAAATCAAAGCAAAGTTATAAGAAATCAGATTGCCTGAATTCTCTCCCTGAATTATTTTCTCTGTCTGAGCCACAAACTTGTTTAAATTCAAAGAGAAGAGGTCAGAGATCCCCCCTTCAGCATCTTTGCATCTTTGCTATCTCAAAAACTCAATTTGCAAAACAAGAAAGAGAGTGTAAACCCTTGCTCACTGATTGTTTTCAAGAGAAAAGAGGGAAGCAGTTTAAGTGGGACTTGAAAACGTTTCCTCTGTTCATGTTTTAAAACCTGTTTGACACAAAGAAACTGCTGTTTCTCCAGCCTAGGAAAAGAGGAAAAGAGTTTATTAGGGGTAACAAACCTATTATCAGATATTAGCATCAGCTTGCAAAACCATAACCCTTTACTTGCTGACTCTCAATACTACTTCATTACTTTCATTATCTCAAGACTTATAACTTTCTACCTCAAGATCTATATCAAAGATTACATAATGATGGACTTCCGGTTTGTAAGACTTTGGCGGCAGCAGGAATATGCGATCGTGCACGGTTTCTGCTGTGCTCGCTGCTGGAGTGACCCCGATCCAGCTGGATTTGGGGGCTAATAGTTACCCCATAGAGGTACCTGAAGATAGAGGAGATCCAGCAGGGGTCCGGCAGAATCGCAACCCCCCCTCAGCTGGCTTAACTCCCTTTTCTGAAGGTGGTGGAGCGGTGGTCAGCAATGGCCGCCACAAAGAAGCTTGCATTCGGATAAGAATGTGCAGGAGGAAGCTGAAAAAGTGAAAGTTCTGGCTGACCGGGATAATAAGTAGCATTTAAATACCCTGGAATCTTAATTTCATCAAAGATACATCGTTCCCAAAGAAGATTGGGAAAAGCGGCGGATGAAAGTTAAAAGGGAAAGTTTGTTTTTTCTCACTTTCCTTCCTTATGGTGATAGAAGATGGAAATCGGAAAAACCCGTTCTGGCAACAGCAGGTAATTAAATTTGAAAGTTAAAGCCAAGGGGACATTAAAGATTTCTGAACATTGAAAAAGATTTTTTTTTTTTTTACTCTTTGCTATAAGTGGGAAGGGAGAGGAAAAGAATTAACATTAAGATTTTTGCTGGAGGAGGCTGCTTGGAACTTATAAGACTAGAGTTAAATTGTAACAAGACTTCTAAAAGATACATTTTGGAACTTTACAATTGAACTGTACCCCAGGAAGAGAAAGTATAAAAAAAAGAAAGTGCTAAATGAAACAGACTGTGTATATTTGGACTGTTTGGTGACTTTGGGATCTTTGGAAATTATTATTTGAAAGACTAAAAACTTTTGGGTTGTTTTAAAAACTTTTTCACTATGGCATTACTTGTTGATGAACTGAAAATGGAATTCAAAAAGCTAAAAGAAGAGGAACAAGAAGGGAAGGGCTCTTCTGGATCTGTTTTTCATTTTTTAGAAATGGCGATTTCTACCTATCAGCAATTACAAGAACAAGAAGGCTGGGATGATGAAGAAGAAGCCATCTTTAATGAACAAATAACTTTAGTTGGGGAAGAAAAGGGAAAGAGGGGAAAGAGAATGGAGAATTTAAGACTTAAAAAAACAATCCAAAAAGGGAAAAATAAGGTGAAAAATTGATACAGAAAGCAACAGAAAAGTGGAATATAGAAGAGGGTGGAGATTAAGAGGGTGGAGGATCAAGAGATGGGGGGGGTAGAAAGGCTAGATTGGAGAAGAAAGGAGGGGGGGAAAGGAAGAGAAGTTCTAAAGGTTTGAAACAAGATGTAAAGAAACAGGATTTATTCAGAGATAATGGGTAAAAATATAATTTTAAAAGAGATTCTGTAAAAGTACATAAGATTGTATTGTTGTATTTGTATTTGAAATAATGTTAGAAAACTGGAACACTATATGATTATAAAATGGGATAAAATATTAAAAGGAATGTGTAAAATGCTTAAGATTTAATGATAGAGTTTAATTTGCTATGGATTATTGTTTTAATTATATTATAAACTTATCATTTTCCTATTTTAAAATATAGTATGTAGCTTTAGAATGTACTAAGCAGAATCAGAATGGAAACTATATATTATTTTAAGTGTTAAATTTAGGCGAAAGATATAAAGGCATCATACTTCAATCAGTGATTACAGGAGAAATTTTGTGTTAATGAGAAAAGATAATAGATAATTGAAATAGAACAGACAAATGATACAAGCATAATGATTTAAATTGAGATGGAATAAATAAGATAGAATTAAGAGAGTAAAAAAGAGGGGAGAAGCTATATAGAAAATGTAGAAAGATAAATAAGATATGAAATGGTATATAATGTGAGCATGAATTTGATTTATGTCTGTATAAAAAGATGTAACACGGGACTAAGCCGCTTTCCAAAAAGAAGTTTTATGCTTTTATGTTTTGTGTTTTGTTTGTATGTGTTTGTTTATTGAAAATTAATAAAATTTTCATTAAAAAAAAAAAGATTAGATAATGATGTCTCCAAATCAATTTCTTTAAAATAATTAATATTCATCAAATGATCAATTGATGTGTTGTTTTTATTGATTAGTGTGATTAGAGTGTTTAGTGCATATAGTGTGATTACTGATTAGTGTAAATGATCAGCAATTCTTGTGAACTATTTGATTAGTAAAATCAGTGATTTAGTGAATTTAATTGACCAGTGTGATTAGTGATTAATGTAATTAATTAGGCTTGTTGCTTAGCGAAATTATTTGATTAAAGTGATTTGAATAATTGATAAATTGATTATTAAAATTGATTAATTGGTGTGATATTGGCTATACTGATTAAGCAATTTGTCTAAAATTGATTTATCACCTAACAATATAATAATTAATTGTTAAATGACCACTAATTTACCGATTCATTGAACTGATAGAGATTTAATAATGTATCATTGATTATCTAGTCGATTGATTGATTTTTAGTAATAAGTAATCTTACTTTTTATTGGTTCTCTAACATATCAATTAACATTTATTAATTATCAACATTCATTAAGTAACTGTCTAACAGGAAAAGCCTAAGGGAAACATCAGGTCAGCCAGAAAACAAACTAGGAAAAGGAATCAAATAAAAAGTATTAAAGAATCCCTATAGACAAAAGCCTAAGCAATTAAGAAAACTAGACAAATAGGAAAAGGAAACAAAAGATAATTTAGAAAACCCTTACAAACACAGGACATACCAAATAAGCAAAACAAACAGACAAAAGAAAAAATATATAAATTACAAAAGGGACAGACAGGAGATTGCCACAGAACAAATATGAAAAACTATCTTAAAGCTAAAAGAGATTACAGAAAACCAATAATACAATTTGGCCACCCCACGAAGTTGCCTTCCGCACCCTGCGAAGTTCGCCCTCCGGCGTAAATAAAGACAAACTCAAATAGGATTTGAAAAATTCGGCACAAATACAAACACTCACACAAAATCAACTTACAAAGGGAGAAAAGGGTATAAAAAACCAGGGACTTACCATAAGAAGCTAGCTAGCCCAGGAACGCAGACTTCTCACTGTTCTCCACCTTCCTGAAAAATAAAAAGATCCAGCTTTCAAGCAGTTGTCCGTATCCTTGTGCCGGAGCTCTCCCAGCGGGAAAATCGAATCTTCGAAAGAAAGGCATTTTGACACCTTTCAACAAATAGATACAGAAAAAATGCTGTAACTTATGGTCTGGATGTTGTTAGGAGTTATTTAGGAAATTACCCTATCTTGCACAATAAGAATTAGTTAAAATGATAATTGAGATTCTTTTTCATTGCTTCCTCCAAAAATAATCCATTCTTCAAGAACTTTCTGTGTGGCTTCTGAAATTTTCCAGTCTGAAAAAAATGAACTTTCTGTCTCTATCAGAGTTTTAGAGGAATGAAATTAAAGTGGTCCTTATTATATGTGGCATCCATAGGATGAAACAAACATATATTTGCCACAATCTCCACCTCTCTCTCTCTATCAAAGAAAGCTGGAGTCACATATTCTAAAATTTTGCTAAAGGAAGTTAGTCAGATCTCAAGTTCTCAAAGAGCTTTCTATCAATGAGGACAGATTAGATATGATCTATCTTGAATTAGTTGTTTAAGTCGGGAACCCAAATCATAACTGAAGCTACAGTACATAATGCCAAAAGCCTATTTTCATTCTGTTTAAATTCATTCCTACCTTTCCTTAAAATAATATCAAATTAATAATAGAGTGGACATACATATTTCCATGCAATGTCAGTTATCAAATTTCTAAGCATAGATATTTAAGAATAGTTATAGGAATGCTAAGAATGGGTGAATGAAAAATAAATATAATGTTCTCTTGCTGTCAACATATATGACATCAAAGTTCTGAATTTTTTTTCCAGAACTTTTTCCATTAAAGCCAAAAGAAAAGTCACTGGTTCACTGGTTTTCTCTTTATATTCACTTAATAATGTTCTGTATTAAGATATGAATCCTACTCCAATATTTCT